TATATGTAAATGACAATTTAGACACAGCTGTTAGGTATCATTGCGAACGTCAGAGTGAGAGCAATAATTCTAGCATTAAACTATGATGAGCAGTAAAGGCTTTTAAAGTGTTGCCTTAGGACTGTCACCATCTGGGGATCGGGACACTGGGGCATGTGAGCTCCGGGTCTTACAGAGCGGGTTAGGGTCACAGGCTGGAGTGATGTCTGGGATGTAGGTCACAGGGGACTAAGAGTCTGTGTGTTATTGGGGACACACTAGCAGCGCAGAATCTATGAAGGGCCAGGTCTTCCACATAGCCTCTAATGGTGAGGATGATTGGCTGCTGGACACCTTCCAGGTTGCGGACCTCTAGCGAAACCACACAGACTAGATGTCTAGTTGCAGCACCAGGGCACTGGACACAAGGGCAGACGGGGAGACGCCTGTGGACAGTGTCAGCACTAGTTTAGAGATGATTTGAGGATCTACAGCCGAGTGATACACAAATAAGATCAGGCCCGGCGCTAGCGCAAGGCAAGTAAGGCGGGCGCCTTACGGCGCTGCAGGGTGAGGGCGGAAAAAAACAGGGCATTTTGACAGTTTTTGTTTTTTTAGCAAATAATTTTTATTGAGATATAGTATATCAATAATGCCCAGGGGCCTTGGAGGGGGGGAAAGTTTAATGGCCTCCAGAATGTCTGTCATAGTGACTTCACCATTTAGCAATGCGCGATCTTCCGCAGATAGGGAAGGTAGGTCGAGGGACTCTAGGAATTGTGCTCCGGCGGGTAAGTCACCCTGCTCAGGGCAGTATAATTTCTGGTAAAAGGTGCTAAAGATTTCACCTACTGAGGAGGAGTCAGATTGTATCACCCCATTTTCGTCCATCAGTTGCATGACATGTGCGTTAGGACGTCTGCCTCGGGCTAGATTCGCTAGAAGTCTACCAGACTTGTTGCCGAATTTGAAAAGTGCCAGGTCATGTTGATGGAGCCAATGGTCGCATGCCTGTTTGGCCTCCAGCCAAGATGACCTATTGGCCTGGGAAGGATCGGATTTGTAGTTTAGGTATGTGTGTCTGGCCGCCGTGCTAGCTTCCGCGTATTGTATTGCCACCATTGTCGAAGTTCCGCCTGAAATGATTCATCCTTCGCCAGATAGGTGGGGAACCTCCAGATGATGCGGTGACTAGGCATGCCAATATCCCTTATATTAATCAACACTGGGGCGTGATCCGAGATCACCATAATCCCGACACGCGCGGCACCTCAGGCAGTCAACGGCCAGCTAAATTAGGACCCCACCTGGAGCTCCTCCCACCGGACCAGCGTTGACTTGCCGCGCTGCTCTCCGCACCGAAGGTAAGTGAAAAAAACAAAAAAAACCATAGCGCAAACATCGGGGCATTTTGACAAGTACAATACTTGCACCTTGCCCACCTTGACTACAATCCTAGCACCGGCCCTAAATAAGATACATTTTTGGTAATAGTTAAGGTACTTGAATGTATTTTTAAGATTGAATTCCTAAGTTTAGTGTCACTTTAAATTGGCCACACAAAAACCAAGTAGGCCAGCTTCTAGCAAAACAAAATGCCTCATAGAAAGTTAACTCACCCCCTGACATGCCTGTGTCGTTCTCCTGCTGCATGTCGTCCGCGGCCATGTTGGAAATATCCCCTCCGTCAGATGCTTGGTCTGTGAGCGATCTGCGAGCCCGCGGCTGCCGCTCCAGATACTTGTCCATGATAAGGGAGTGATCGTGGGGTTGTCAGTGACCGGTCGGGTGTGCGGGAGATGTTCTGGTAAGCAGGTGTTAGTGGATGGCGGGACGGAGCTCCGTTTCGCTCGTCTACAGCATCGGGCGCCGGAACCAGAAGTCGACAGTTTTTTTTTAACTTACCTTCGGTGCGGGAGGGCAGCGGCGAGTCAGCGCTGGTCCAGTGGGAGGAGCTCCAGGTGGGGTCCTAATTTAGCTGGCCGGCGACTGCATGAGGATCCCGACACGCGCGGCACCTCAGGCAGTCAACGGCCAGCTAAATTAGGACCCCACCTGGAGCTCCTCCCACCGGACCAGCGTTGACTTGCCGCGCTGCTCTCCGCACCGAAGGTAAGTGAAAAAAACAAAAAAAACCATAGCGCAAACATCGGGGCATTTTGACAAGTACAATACTTGCACCTTGCCCACCTTGACTACAATCCTAGCACCGGCCCTAAATAAGATACATTTTTGGTAATAGTTAAGGTACTTGAATGTATTTTTAAGATTGAATTCCTAAGTTTAGTGTCACTTTAAATTGGCCACACAAAAACCAAGTAGGCCAGCTTCTAGCAAAACAAAATGCCTCATAGAACAGTGGGATGGATACAAGTCCACAATTTCAAGTGGAGTCAGAACTCTTCCCATTCACATACACATATTCCTTGAAAGTAGACTACAGAAAAATAAATCACAGATTTGCCAATGTTTCTGTACATGTACAACCCATCTGCCACTTTGTAATTGAGCAGAATTGGGTTATAATTTGTCATAACCAACTAAAATGGTAAAATGAAAAAACCTAAAAATAAATCAGCGATTTCAGATTCTGAACATAGCATTTATTATTAGGCAGGACATACATTCCAAACATAGAATGCCAGAAAACGTGGTGATATAGCAGTGAAATGACCTGTCTGACCCTTTCTACAAGAGCCCCGGGGAGATTGCGGGTCAGTATTCCAGTCAATGCATTCTAGTCAGTCCAGATATAGATTTGACCGGCCATGTTCACAGCAGAAGTCCATTGAGGTGCTAAATAGGCCAAAGATGTGACAACATAAAATGATGCGCTTGTTCAGCTTCCCTTTGACTCAGAAGATGATCAGATGACTTTTTAGGGACATTTTGCCAGGGTTCTCAAAGTCGTATTAACCTCTCAAACTTTTGTTCAATAATGAATCCAGATCACACAAATATACATTACCCAGCAAAGTATTTCTTTATATTTTTGCCCAAACACTTGCAGTCATCATGTTTCTGAACAGCTCCAACTCTCTCAGCTCAGCTTACCTAAACTTTCTGTCCAGTAGAAGATTACAAGGCACAGAGCAGTCTGCAGCAACTGTTCATCTACTAGTTTGGAGAAGGGAGGAGAGGAACAGGGAGCAGGGGAGAGGGTTGCAGTGCCATGCATGTGTGTTTATGTGGACACACACAGCTTACTAGCACACACAAGGGTGGCTCCATAGGACCCTGCAAGAGAATGGAGCCACCCATATACAGCATATCAGGGCCAGCGATCAGGGGGCTAGCTGATTCTACAGGAAGCTAAAACTTTAAACATCAAGGAGCAGCATTGTGATTCATTCAGCATTTGAAATAAGTTAATAAATAAGTGAAATAAAATTGACGTCCTGATGAAGGGGGCGTGCCCCGGAAACGCGTCGACACAGCAGTGCTTTACACAGGACACGCTATCCGGATCTTTTTATTGCTCTGGTCATATTGTCCAACGGCTTGTTTTTATCTTCAACATAGTGAGTACCTGTGAATTCACCTTTATGCCTGTCTTTTTGGATTAAATGATATTGCGCCAGGCAAGGCGCCTCTTCTTTTGTGTTTTTTAGCATTTGAAATAAGTTAAAAAACCTTTTGACTTTAATATCACTTTCATCCCATAAATTGCATTTTTAGCTCCATATTGCAGTCTTCATAAATAGAATTCAGAATTTTCAAAAGACTTTGATAGACATGCGGAGTAAGTGTGTAGGGTTTTGGGTTTAGATACACTTTAAAGTCAAAGGGAACCCTTGCCTGCAACCTGAAAATCCATGAAGTCTCTCTTTTATGGTTATAACTAGGGCCAGATGAGGCTGAAACACCAGATTTTGTATGTGTTGTACTGTATGTTCCTGGAAGCTGAAGAAGGACCTTTGTCTATATTGGACAACAATGGTGAGCCTGGAGATTGTAAAACTACATTAGGAGGTGCATTGCCGATCACCCAACCATGCGTGTTTGGGTAAGAGGTGTATGGGTTGAGCAGAACTAACTTTCATCTGTATGAATGGAATCTAGGCATCTGGATGGAGTCTCTACCCCATCCGGCCTGTGACTCTTAAAGGAGAACTATGAGGTGAGTGAAAATAACTCATCCTCATAGTTCTAGCCGACCTGTGACAATTAAACTGTCACAGGTCGGCTCAATCGATCGGGAAGTGAGCGAACACATAGCGTCGCTCGCTCACTTCTCGATCCTGTCCCTGCAGAGAGCTGTGACTGTCACTCACGGCTCCCTGCAGGGATTCCCCCCTCCCCTGTCCGATCCTCCAATGCTGACTGGCGGAATGGACGGGGAGGGGGCGGGTACAGCTGACTCTGCCTCTAGATAGGCAGAGCCAGCTTTCAATCACACAGCTGGGTGGATCCAGACAGTAATGTCGGGATCCATCCCGGCTGCGGCGCCTCAGTGTACCGCGAGCTGTAGCTCGCGCTATACTAAGCTTTGGGTGACGTGAGGACTCTAGTTTGTTACCCTTAGGAGAACTATGGGGAAAAGCACAACCCCATAGGACGCTAGTTACCCTTAGGAGAACTATGGGGAAAAGCACAACCCCATAGGACGCTAGTTACCCTTAGGAGAACTATGGGGAAAAGCACAACCCCATAGGACGCTAGTTACCCTTAGGATAACTATGGGGAAAAGCACTAACCCCTTTAAATACAAGCACATAGCACATAGTTCCATAGTTCCCCTTTAAATACAAAAATCAAGTATGCAATGCAGTTCCATGTCTACAGATCAATTTACATTTCTATCACGTACAATTAGATGTCAGATCTTTCTAGAACCCGACAAGACTCAGAACATTATGTGACATGACAGAACTAGCTAGACAAGAGTGTTCAGTACATACAAGAGATAGCTGTCCCATGTTAGATGTAACCTGAGCTCAAGTATGGGAAAGGGGACAGAGGCAATGACACAGGAGATGACTGAAAGATTGATTTGTTTGATGCACAAAACAGGGACATACCTGTGAGATCGTCTGTAGGCCAAGAGCCCAGATCACAAGCCTTACAGGTGTACTCATCAAATACAATCTCATTGTCCTTGCAGGGTGTGCAGGTCCAGCAGCAGCTCACCTCTCCTTTACGAATCACCTGAAAATCAAGCCAGACTTCAATTTTAGAGTCACATCACTAGGAAGGCACAAAGGACACATTCACCATGTTCAATGAAGAAGAACAGAACCAGAGATAGACAGACAGACAGACAGATAAAGAAAGAGAGAGAGATAGTAGACATATAAGCTGTGGAAAAATTTGGTTCGGTTCAGATATTTCGTGATTTGAGTTTCGGATTCAGACAAAATCCGAATCTTCGTTAGTTTCGGATGCGTTTACGAATATCGGTTGCGAGTAAAACAGAAAACCATAAACAGATATTAGTTCTAAAGCTGAATTTCCTAGACCCAAATGGCATTCAGGATCCGAATTTCAGAATTGCATTCGGGAGCTCCCGAATGCCATTCGGGTCTGGGAGCCTCAGCTTTGGTATTACACGTATAGACTAAACATGAATTTTCGTTATGGCATGTGACTTTTCTGGCCAATCAGATGTCTCATGATACCGTAACGAAAATGTATTGTAACAAGGACACTCCACTGAAGACCGGAGGTGCAAGTACAATGCAGTTTATTTGCTTTCAAAACAATAGATAACACGAAATCCAACATAAATAGCTTGCTGTAGCATAACAGATAGGGGCTCACCAATCCTCGAGTTGTCACGTACACTCAAGGTGTCCCAGTCTTTTAACAAGTCTCTCTCGCAGCACTGCTGCTCCGGCCTCAATCTTTAGGGCCACTGTCTGGTTCCTCCAGACAACAGCAATAACATGCCAATCCCCTCAATATGGTTCACAAACCCGCAGCTCCCTGCTGCCCTGGCCTCCACACTGACTCCGGGGTGGAGCTCTCCTGACTCACAGGTGGGGCCCTGAACACATCCCAGCACACACTTCATGAGGGATGTAAACAGGTGCACAATCAGGTGCTGGTCACCACCAAAGCATGGACCCAGGAATGGAGATTTCTTCCCACCCAGAGCTCCAAGAAATCTCCTGGCTCCAGGATCCCAACCTTGATCCAGAAAACCCCAGAAAGAACTGAAAAGGCAGTTCTCTCCTGGTACCAGTAATGTCTTCCTGGAGCCACTCAGCCCCTCTGGCTGAGAACCCTGGGTGACTTTGAGGCCACCTAACACCGTGGTATTGCCTCACAATGCCACAGTATGTTCAGACCCATTTGGATGCATTAAACCGAAAAACACATCTGATTGGCCAGAAACGTCACATGTCTGATGTCAGTTTAGTTTTTGAATGAAATTCGGACGGGATCTGAAATTCAGAAACGGAAATTCGGATTCGGAAATTCAGATGCATTGGGATTTGGAAATTCAGATGTGTCCGAATTAAACAAATCGCACATGCTTAACAGACAGACAGACACAGATTAATAGATAGATGGATGGATGGATTAATAGATAGATAGATAGATAGATAGATAGATAGATAGATAGATAGATAGATAGATAGATAGATAGATAGATAGATAGATAGATAGATAGGATAGATGGTCATAGGATGGCTATCAGTCAATCATAGAATCACACGGTGAACCTGGTCTCACCTTTATCTGTCCTTTGGCACAAGGCTCACTGCAGACCGATCGAATGATGGTATTCTTATTAGACCAAATTTCATCATCATCCATTTTTAGTTCCCCATTGTGCCAGCTTCCAACATTGATGTAATCAAAGTAATCTTTACCCATTTTCTTAAAATTCATGATCTCATACCTACATAAAAGAAGATCAATTAGAGGGAATCAGGGAAGATGTGCGTCTTCACTCTTCTTGTAATGACTAAAGCTTCATTTCTTTAAAGGGAACCTGCTAGAACCTTCATTACACAGAAAAACCTCCGTGTGCCTCACTTAAAGAGGAAATAAAAATATTTAGGAGTAATTTATTGAACATTTTTTTAAACATGACATATTTTAAAACATTTATTACAGGGTGCACCCATGACACAGGCCTTATATCTACACATTGTTGCTTGCACTATGCGCCATGTCAGACTAGCCATTTTTTTTTTTCTTTGCTGGATTTGATACAGACATACATTGGGAGTCCTTCATCTGCCATTAAAAAGTCTGGGCTACTGGTATATTGCTGTACCTTCAAGTAGGAGGGGGCTACCTCCAAGGAATACCTGCTCATAATTTGTGCATTGCTATACATATTTCCCAAGTTGGCCTGTTTGCTGTTTGTGTCTTTGTTATGTCGCTGTTTGTCCTGTTGACAATTGTCACGGAGAGTAAAGTGAAAGAATGTCACCAGGACTGGAATAGAGGGGAACTCTTCCAACTGGGATACTTATTCTGATGACAACCGGGATTTCCCTTACTTTGGAGGATTTCCTCTCACTTCCTGTTGTGGCTCTGGTATAGGAAGTGAAGGAAAATCCCGCCAATGGGACACAGATGGCAAAAAACTTGATGGGGTTATAACCCTTTCTTACTCTATCCAAAATGCAAAGAAAAACGGCCTTAGTTCAGAGCCACCCCACCACCATGTAATGGAGATGATAAGAGGGTGAGATGTTTTGTAGTCCAAATCAGAGGAGAAGCCTACGGTGACAACTCTGCTCCTCCATAGATACGGTACAGTGAGTGAGCGCTGTCACTCTAAGACAGGAAGTGTGTTACTGGCAGGATCACCAGGTGAAAATAACGGAGAAAGCCAGAAAGAAATTTAAACTAATGGAACCACCACAACTACAGACTGGTAAGCTGCAAGATTTCTTACCTGGGGCACAGGTAGTGCTGTGGGGCCTGGTTCTGCATCATTATTTAATTCTGGGCCTACTAAGAGGGGGTTATATGAAATCATTCACATTTGTCCTGTATGTGTATTCTTCTATAGGATAGCTCTGTGTATTCTTTATATCAGCCAGTGATGTCAGGTAAACAGCTTTACAGGAACTATGCACAAGGGCCACACATTTACTTCATAAGAATTTATGAACATTCCTGAAAATTGCCATCAACCAATACAATCATTGGTGGCCTTTGCTCGCATGTGGGGGTCCCCACTCTTACTTACCTTAGCTATTTTTTGGGATGCTTACCATGCATGGCCCTCAGGAGACGTCTTCATTGAAAGATGGCTACAACGTTCGCCATAGGCCACAAAATCAGTAGGACCCCAGTGAGGATGTATTGTTGTCACATATCGAGAGCAGTAGTTGCTGGTGTTGGCAATATACATACACTAATATACTTACAGTTCACAATGGTGGACCCTGACATTTTCTTTTAGGACTATACGGCCGAAATTTTGGTAACTGAAGAATCTGTGAGTCAATGGTCTGGGCCATGCACTGGAATACATAGGGGAATCAGGGATGGGGCTGTATCTTCTAAGTTCCTCAAACTGTAGACCTCCTCTCTACTCCTCCACATCCTCAGCCTGATCACCAATGATCTTTGGAGATTGATTTGTTTCAAATATAATGAATTCAAACCAAAAAGACAACTGTACCTTCCAGGTGAGTCGCCATTCTCATCGAACCTGATGACGTCATCAGCCACACCTGTGAAATTAACTCTCATGAGACAGTCCAGAAGCTTCTCCCCATCTATGGGTTTCATGGCATCACAAAGGCCGGCATATCCTGGACACAAGGCCACCTGCATGTTGTGGAGACCATACGCCATGGCATAAATGGCATTGATGACAAAGCCCATCTTGGAATCTTGAGCATACTGATACGTCAAAGAAAGCCGAGCTGAAAAAAAAAAAAATGAGTTAGCAGTGGTAACATAGAGGCGTAACTAGAAACCTCAGGGCCCCGGTGCAAGAAACCATGGAGGGCCCCCCCCACTCCACC